GATTTGGAGGCAGAGCATCGGAGACTAGAAGACTCTGCTACGGGATGCTGGTGTTGCAGGCAGTGGCTTAGCCCCCGTGCCACGCTGGCTGGAAACTTATCTTTTATAATTCCATTTTTCCAGGAACTTTTGCAAGTCCTGTTGTGTTTATCCTGTGCCGCACACTCAGGCCATCACGTTGACGGTAAAACTTGCCATGTGTATGTAGGTTTTGTGGTACAGGGATTTCGCTGCTGGACAGCAACACAGTCTTTGCAGTGAGCAGGATGGCCACGCCTGATGGAGCGGAGAACCCTTTGAAATAGAACCCAAAGGCCCTCCTCGGCCCTCCGGCCCATCCCACCCTGCCCTTCTCTGTGCAGGCTCCCGCGCCACCAGCCGAAGCCACCTCTGTGCTACTGTCCCAGCCGCGGGACAGCCTCACCTCTTCCTCAAATGTCCCCACCCTCTCCGCTCAGCGCCTCAACAGCCACACTGCACCCCGAACCTTCCCTCTTCCCTGCTCAGCTCGTGCCACGCTGTGCCCGGTCAGCTGGCCCACTTACTCCGTCCCCTCGGAGGAGCCCATGTTTAATCCTTCTGGGGGAAAAAGCTTCTATTGCTATCAAAAACAGGAGGCTGGTATGAATAGTCTTTTTACAAAAGATTTATTTTTTATTTACTTGAAAGGCAGAATTACAGCGAAAGAAGGAAGGAGAGAGAGCGCTCTTCTACCTACTCCCCAAGTGGCCCCCACAGCGAGGAGCGGCCAGGAGCGTCATCCGGGTCTCCCACGTGGGTGCAGGGGCCCAAGCACTTGGGCCGTCTTCTGCTGCTTTCCCAGGCCCCTTAGCAGGGGGCTGGATCAGAAGTGGGGCAGCCGGAACTCAAGCTGGTGACCGTATGAGATGGGGTGGGGCTGCTGGTGGCAGAGGCTTAACCTTAAATATAAACTGCAAACACAGATCAAAAGAGAAAGCTGTTAACCTACATTTAGATAACATTGTCAGCAGACACCCTGAGGCCAGAGGAAGGTTAAGAGGTGTTGGGGATGCCTTAGCCTCCAGGACAGTTTCCGCTTTGATACATTCCCAGGGCTGGAAAGAAAACGGGAAAAGGTGTAACTTTGTGTGTGTGATTCCACCCTGTCCCTGCTCTCCCTAAAGTCACCTGCTTGTCACCGCAGGCAGTGGGGCCGGATGCGGCTGTCACCCCACACACAGGCCCGGCACAGTGGCTGGAGAGGCCTCCATAGCTGGGGGCTATGAAATCTCATTAGGGGCTGGCATCTTGCCCCCCCTCCCCAGCTGCTCCACTTCCAATCCCTGCTGTGGCCTGGGAAAGCAGCAGAGGACGGCCCAAGTGCTTGGGGCCCTGCATCCGCGTGGGAGACCCAGAGGCAGCTCCCGGCTGTTGTGGGCGTTTGGGAAGTGAACCAGTGGATGGAAGACCTCTCTCTCCTCCTCTTCCTCCTCCTCTCTGCAACTCTGCCTTTCCAATAAATAACTCTTTTTAAACACTTTATTCTTTATGAAAGTAAGTTGTGGTTTTACACCTGCATCCCTGAGAATCACGCGCATTCATTCAGAAAATCTGAAAGTCGGAGCAAACTCAGAATTACCGGCTCACAGCCTTTCAAAGCCTTCGACATCCTAATGCACTTGGTAGGATGTCACTGCGCTCGCTCAAAGTCTGGGTGACTTGTGTTTGCTTTTAAGCACCCACAGCCACTGGGCTCACCCCCGGGGTCCCTCTGGATGCAGCCCGGCCTCACCTCCACCGAGAAGGCCTCCTGGATGCCCCGGGGGAGCTCGCGCTTCACAAGGGGTCGGCTGCGCGACCGGCTACCCGAACGGTCGGCCTGGCCTCCCGCTTCCCCCTCCCCGCCCCGGCCCTCTCCAGGGCCTGCCAGGGAGCCAGACCGGCGCCGCCCGCCTGAGGCTGCACCTGCTCCCGGGCGCGCCCGGCTCAGATTACGCCGGGGCTGGGAGGGCCTCTTCCCGGGGCTCCGACGTTAGGGGGCACCAGACCAGCACGGCTCCGGCCCCACCGGGGAGTGGGCGAGCGGGCAGAGAGGGCAGAGGGACCGCTGCAGAGCTCCGATCTGGGGAGCGCCCCGCCAGCCACGAGGGTGACCACGGCGGTGACCTCCGCGGCGGCCGCCTTCCAGCCAAGGGGAGCCGGCGGGGTCCGGAGACCCTGAGGTTGGACCAGATCGGACCCCGGAGCCCGCAGCCAGCGCGGAGCTGGGGGTGGGGGGTGGGGGGCGAGGAGGGGTGCGGCTCTCAGTCCCCGCCCCGGGGCGGAGCCAAGGCCGGATCTTGCGGAGAGCTTAGCCCGCGGGAGCCCGCCGGGCTCGCAGCCCGTTCCCGCCCGCAGGCGGGCGCATGTGCAGGAGCAGCTTCCCCCAGCCCGCCCCGGTCCCGGCGGGTTCCGCTGCGGCCGCCATGGCGCGAGGAGACGCCCCGCGGGACAGGTGAGCTGGGGACCAGGTGGGCTGCGTTCCGGGCCCAGGTAGCCGTGCGCAGCGCCAGCCGCTCCCCGGGCTGCCGAGACCGGGTTGAACTACAATTCCCAGCAGCCGACTCCCGGGGCCGCCCGAGCCGGGGACGTGAGCGCTGTGGTCCGCTCGCTGGCGCGGGAGGCCCGGGCGGCCGGGGCGCGCGTCCTCGGGGTGACCTTCTCGCCGACGTCCGCAGCTACCACCTGGTCGGGATCAGCTTCTTTATCCTGGGGCTGGGCACCCTCCTTCCCTGGAACTTCTTCATCACCGCCATCCCGGTGAGACACGCGGCCAACTCCGTGCATGCCTGGGACCGGGGCTTAGCAGGCGCGTCCCCTGGGCTCGGCGGAAGCGCGGAGCGTCCGACGGCCAGGAAAGCCAAACTTTCCCAAATGCCCCGGTCTCAGGGGGCCCCGGGGGTCTGTGACCAGCAAAGGAGCTGCCCACCACCTCCTCTGTGCGGACCCCGTCCCCGGCCGCTCACTCCTAGACTGGGCCACGAATCAGATTCGTTCATTTCTCGCACATTTAATGGGCACCCACTGTGAATACAGCGCAAACAGGGAGGCTGCCCCTTGGGGTGGGGTTGCTCCTTTCGCTTGTGTGCAGCTCCGTTGCAGGGGTCCCTGGAGGACCTGGCTCTGCTGGCCCTGAGACCTCGTGATAATCAGCCCTGGGCTTGAGCTAGGCAGGGACCTGGGGCTATTAATACCGTAACACGACGTGTGCATTCCCAGCCTGGAGCAGTTCTCCGGGGCCCCAGGGGACGCATTTGCAGGCTGGGAGTAGTGTAGGCGGAGTGGGGGTGGGGTGGGGGTGGACAGGAGGGAAGAGGACACTCCAGGGGAGGTGGCAGCTGGGCAGGAGCAGCGAGGCAGGTGAGGTCCAGAGCCTGACACGCTGGCACTTGGCAGGGTGGAGCAGCTGGGATCGGACGCTGAAGGGGAGGGGTGATCTGGAGCGAGCCCTGAGCCGGCGGCTCCCAGGCTTGCCCTGTGTCCCAAAGTTGAGCTCAGCGCATCTCCTTGGAGCTCCGGCTGTGGGCCAGGTGCTGGGGACCGTGCAAGGGCAGGGCCAGCAGGCCCCACAGACACGAGCCAGGCAGTCACAACGTTGGGGAGAGCTGGGGGAGGCTGGGGGGAGGGGGTTCCTGACCCTGCTCTGCCTCTGTCTCCGGCAGTACTTCCAGGGGCGGCTGGCGGGGGCCAACGGCACAGCCGGGGCCCTGAGCACCAACCACACGGGCCCCACAGACGCCTTCAACTTCAACAACTGGGTGACACTGCTGTCACAGCTGCCTCTGCTGCTCTTCACCCTCCTCAACTCCTTCCTGTACCAGTGGTGAGACCCGCCCCCACCCGGAGGACCCCCCACCATCCCAGCCCCTGCTGCACCTGCCTGCCTCCCCTCCCCCACCTGCCCCCCTCAACTCCTTCCTGTACCAGTGGTGAGACCCGCCCCCACCCGAGGACCCCCCTCCCTCCCAGCCCCGGCTGATGCTCCCCCCGCCTGCCCCCCCTCAACTCCTTCCTGTACCAGTGGTGAGACCCCCCCCACCCTCCCAGCCCCGGCTGCACTGGCCTGCCTCCCCTCCCCCCGCCTGCCCCTCCTCAACTCCTTCCTGTGCCAGTGGGGAGACCCGCCCCCACCCGAGGACCCCCCACCCTCCCAGCCCCGGCTGCACCTGCCTGCCTCCCCTCCCCGGCTGATGCTCCCCCCGCCTGCCCCCCCTCAACTCCTTCCTGTACCAGTGGTGAGACCCGCCCCCACCCGGAGGACCCTCCTCCCTCCCAGCCCCGGCTGCACCTGCCTGCCTCCCCTCCCCCCACCTGCCCCCCCTCAACTCCTTCCTGTACCAGTAGTGAGACCCACCCCCACCCGAGGACCCCCCTCCCTCCCAGCCCCGGCTGATGCTCCCCCCACCTGCCCCCCCTCAACTCCTTCCTGTACCAGTGGTGAGACCCGCCCCCACCCGGAGGACCCCCCCCAGCCCCGGCTGCACCTGCCTGCCTCCCCTCCCCCCACCTGCCCCCCCTCAACTCCTTCCTGTACCAGTGGTGAGACCTGCCCCCACCCGGAGGACCCCCCCCCAGCCCCGGCTGATGCTCCCCCCACCTGCCCCCCCTCAACTCCTTCCTGTACCAGTGGTGAGACCCCCCCCACCCTCCCAGCCCCGGCTGCACCTGCCTGCCTCCCCTCCCCTGCTGATGCTCCCCCGCCTGCCCCTCCTAGCAGTTTCCTGTACCAGTGGTGAGACCCGCCCCCACCCGGAGGACCCCCCACCCTCCCAGCCCCGGCTGCACCTGCCTGCCTCCCCTCCCCGGCTGATGCTCCCCCCGCCCCTCCGAGCAGCATCCCGGAGGCCGTTAGGATCCTGGGCAGCCTGCTGGCCATGCTGCTGCTCTTCGCTCTCACGGCCGCGCTGGTCAAGGTGGACGTGAGCCCTGGGCCCTTCTTCTCCATCACCATGGCCTCCGTCTGGTTCATCAACTGTGAGCACCTCTGCCCGACCCCGCCCCCCAGCCACCCGACACAGGCCTCAAGCCCGGCCTGTTCCAAGCCAAGGAATGAATGGAGGGGGGTGTTGCCCCAGAGTGCCTGGGGGGGGGGGGGCCCTGGGGAAGCGGATCCCTGCCCCGCCTGGTTGGGAGTGTGTGCACCCTGCCGGCACCTCCTCCAGGGAGCCCCCCAGGCCTGTGTGGCTGAGCAGCCGCCCCCATCCCTGTGCGTCCGCAGCTTTCTGCGCAGTTCTGCAGGGCAGCCTCTTCGGGCAGCTGGGCACCATGCCGTCCACGTACAACACCCTCTTCCTCAGCGGCCAGGGCCTGGCCGGGATCTTTGCTGCCCTTGCCATGCTCACGTCCATGGCCAGTGAGTGCGCTTGGGTGGCCGCAGGGCGGGGCAGGCTTGGGGGTTTGCGGAGCAGACAGGGCCTGTGGAAAGGAGGTGGCTGGGTTCTGGGGGGAGGTGGGGCGTGGGCCCTGCAGTGAGGGAGAAGGTTAGCCCATGAGCACTGGGCTGACCTCCCACCGGGGGCGGGACTGCTGGGGCCAGCACTGGCGGGCTTCAGAGACATGGGGACACCGAGGCATTGAAACTCCGTGTGTCGTGGTCCCCAGGCTACTGACCGCTCGGTCCTGGTCTGACTGCAGGGAGACAAAGGCCCTCACCCACAGAGTGAGAGGAGGGAAGGGCTGGCCTGTGGGTTCTGCGGGAGCCCGTGGGACCTCCCCACCCCCACAGCTCCCTGTCCCACTGCAGGTGGTGTGGATGCCCAGACCTCCGCCCTGGGGTACTTCCTCACGCCCTGCGTGGGCATCGTCCTGTCCATCGTGTGCTACCTGAGCCTGCCGCACCTGGTGAGCCTGCCACCACGGGGCCCCCGCTCTCCACGGGTCCTGGGGAGGCGGAGGAGTCGGCCAGCAGCACGTGGGGAGGGAGCCCGCCCCTCAGTCCCGTCAGCTACGGCCAACACTTCCTGATCCTGCAGGAGTTTGCCCGCTACTACCTGGCCAAGAAACCATCGCAGGCCCCGACCCAAGAGCTGGAGACCAAAGCCGAGCTCCTCCAGTGTGGTAAGCTGCAGGCCCCTCCCCCGCAGGGCAGGGGAGGCCCAGAGGAGGCTGGAGCCCCTTGCCCGCGACGCGGTCCCCTCTGGTCCTCGCCGGAGCCGCACCACGTGGCCTTGTGCATCAGAGGCAGGAAATCACAGAGAGAAGCCCCGCCCCGTCCCGCATCACAGCGCCTGAGTTCCAATCCAGCTTCCTGCTACAGCACACCCTGGGGGCAGCGGTGGTGGCTGAAGGACTCGGCTCCCTGCTGCCCACTTGGGCTCCAGGCTCTGGCCCAGCCCCAGCTGTTGCAGGCATTTGGGGGGTGAATCAGCACATGGAAGATTCTCTCTCCCTCTCTCTCTCTCAGTCTCTCTGCCTTTCAGATAAAATGAGGGTGAAAATCACTTGGCTAAATTAAAAACCAAGAAGTCTGTAGAACTGGAGTCATCCCCCTCACTGCCCTTCCGGCCTCAGTTTCCCCATCGTGCAGGGCAGAGCTGTGCTGCATGTGTGTGAGTTCTGGACCCAGACCTCTGAGCCTGAATCCTGGCTTCACACAGCCACGCAGCCCCTCAGCCCTGCTGGGCCTCAGGGTCTCCACGGGCAGTGGGAGAGGCTCACGGGTGGTCGTGTGTCACGTGATGATGGGGCTGCCTCCTGCTGGTGCCGCGTGCGTCACTGCACGGCCTCCCGACACGACCCAGAGACGCGGTGAGCGAGGCACAAAGAAGCCACCACGGCCTCCTGCGGTGGCTGTTTTATAGTCAACTTTTTTTTTTTTAATATTTATTTATTTGAAAGGCACAGTTGCAGAGAGAGACAAAGATCTTTGATCGGCTGGTTCACTCCCCAAATGGCTGCAATGGCTAAGGATGGGCCAAACTGAAGCCAGGAGCCAGGAGCTTCTTCCAGGTCTCCTATGTGGGTGCAGGGACCCAAGCGCTTGGGCCATCTTCTACTGCTTTCCCAGGCCACAGCAGAGAGCCGGATCAGAAGTGGAGCAGCCAGGACTTGAACCTGAGCCCATATGGGATGCCAGTGCTGCGGGCTGGGGCTTTAACCCGCTGCCCCACAGTGGCAGCCCCAGGGATATATTTATAACAAGATGTACTGGCTCATAAATATACAAACCAGCAGCATTGTGGTTGGGTATCACGTACGGTCACTTGAGGACAGCTCGGTCCTGACCGGGCGGTGCTGTGGTTGCGTGGACATCTCAGGGCGTTACTTGCAGAGACCAAGATGGCTCCACTGATGCTAAGTGACCTCATCTCAGGGGACCACCGAGCTCTCTGTGGCCCTGCTGTGCTGTCACAGGAGTGGCAGCGTGGGCCTGGTTACGCCCACGTCACCCCACGTGTGATGCACTGGCTGCAACGCGCCGATGGCCATGGCCCCTCTCATCCTCTGCACAGGACCCTGTGTGCCTAACAGAGCAGCCACGCGCCTCGCCACCCCGGTTCCCTCCGGCACGCTGGCCGGAACCGCAGGGGACCTCCCTCCGGGGCAGGGCATGGTGTCAGGAAACCCGGCAGGTGACAGGCACGACCCTCCCCTCTGCCTTGGCCCCAGATGAGAAGAACGGGGTTCCCAGCAGCCCCCAGAAGGCGGCCCTGACCTCGGATGTTGACCCTGAGAAGGAGCCGGAGCTGGAGCCTGCGGAGCCCAGGGATCCGGGAAAACCCTCGGTCTTCGTGGTCTTCCGGAAGGTTTGGCTGGGACGCAGCCCCCGCCCCCGACCCCCTCCGGGCACCGGCTCTGGGCAGGACTGCGGCAGCGGGCCGGGGTGTGCCCGCCTGCTCACACCCCTGCCTCCGGCTCCCAGATCTGGCTGACGGCGCTGTGCCTTGTGTTGGTCTTCACAGTCACCCTGTCGGTCTTCCCCGCCATCACTGCCATGGTGACCAGCTCCACCAGCCCCGGGAAGTGGAGTGAGTGTGCGGCGCCAGGAGGGGCGAGGCGGGGGGAGCGCAGGGCAGCCAGGGAGGGGGCGCTGGGCCCAGGGTGAGCCCCCAGCCTTCTCCCTCCCAGGTGAGTTCTTCAACCCCATCTGCTGCTTCCTCCTCTTCAACGTCATGGACTGGCTGGGGCGGAGCCTGACCTCCTACTTCCTATGGGTGAGCGCGCCTGTGGGATCCGACCAATCAGGAAGCAGCTGGGAAGGGGGGCGTGTCCCAGCACTCAGGGATCCCGCCAGGGGACAGCCAGCCGCGGGGCGATGGGGGGCGTGCAGGCCAGGGCCTGGGAAGCAGAAGCCACGCGTGTTTGAAAAGCGTGGGCCTCTTCCAGCTGTGCCGCCGAGAGGGCACGCTGCAGATCGGGCGGCCGCTGTGGGCTGAGGGGTCGCTCCGATGGGTGCGTGTGCAAGGCGGGAGCCCGGGGCGCCCCAGGGCGCGTGCTCACCCCCGCGTCTGCCCCAGCCCGTGGAGAACAGCCGGCTGCTGCCCCTGCTGGTCTGCCTGCGCTTCCTCTTCGTGCCTCTCTTCATGCTGTGCCATGTGCCCCAGCGTGCCCGGCTGCCCATCCTCTTCCCCCAGGACGCCTACTTCATCATTTTCATGCTCCTCTTCGCCGTCTCCAACGGCTACCTGGTGTCCCTCACCATGTGCCTGGCACCCAGGTCAGGGGGTACGGTGGGGCCCGGGGCGGGGAGGTGGGGCGTCCACGAAGGAGGCCCCTTCTGCTCTGGCCAGCCCAGCCCCAACTGGCCCCAGGCCTCGCTAGCGCCCCCCTGTGGTCAGGCCAGGAGCTAGGCAGAGGAGACAGACCGGGAGGTGCCCACCTGGTGGAGTAGCCCAGGCACGGGTTCTGGGGCATCCTCTTCTGCCTCAGTTTCCCCATCGGTGGATAAGGGGAGCTGGGGTGTTGATTAAAGGCAGTATTCATGTTTTATCCTGGCAGAGGGAAGGTGACAGGTCTGGGGCGGGGCCTACGTTCAGGGGGAGCCGGAGCCCTGGGACGCTGGGGTCATCCTGGGCTGGCAGCTTCACGCCGTGGGGCAGGAGGGTAACAGCCTGGTGACAGTGACCCGGGCGTGCGGCCGGAGCCTGGCACAGACCACGGGGACTGGCAGCCCTCCGGGGCTGAGCCTGGCCGGAGCCGGCGTTTTCTGAAGGGCTCCCGTTCTGGTGTGTTCCAGGCAGGTGCTGGCGCATGAGAGGGAGGTGGCCGGCGCCCTCATGACCTTCTTCCTGGCCCTCGGACTCTCCTGCGGGGCCTCCCTCTCCTTCCTCTTCAAGGCCCTGCTCTGAAGCCCCCTGTGGAGCTGAGACCACCCAGCCCCTGGGGAATGACAAGCCGGGCTCAGGCTGTGCCGGGAGGGCCGGGAGCTGCTCACCGGGGGTGCTCCGAGGTCAAGTTCACCGAGGGTCACTCGCACCCAGGAACGGATCGGGCCTTGTAGAAGACCCACTCAACGGAGCAGGGACAAGAGAGTGCAACCGACCGTGGCGCTGCCCACCGTGAGACTGCATGTCAGTGCCAAGGGGGCCTTGCCCACATGGGCCCTGCCCTGGGCTCAGAGTCGGAGGTGGGGCCGGGCAGGTGCTCCTCCCTCCAGGCCTCAGCCGGCCCCAAGATCAAGTCTCTCCAAGCTGGGGGCAAAGGATGCTGGGAGAGTGGAGGGGGAGCAGGTGCTGAGGCTCCGAGGGTGCTCTGTGGACTGGGGCCTGCGCCTCCAGCTGCCCGTTGCCAACGCTCACTCTCCCTGGGTCTGGCTCTGGGCACCGTGTCAGCCTGCACGTGGGCACCTCACTTTACAGCTGGCCAGTGTCTGCACACCCCACTCTCCGTGCAGCCTCCCCGAGGCCGGGGAGGGAGCAGAGCAAGACCGTCGTGCAGGCGGGAAATCAGGTCCAGAGGGGAGGACTGCACCCCAGCCCCCACCTCCTGCAGGTGCTGTTCTGCCTGCCCCCTGCCCGCTCCTCTTCCTCGGGGGCTCAGGGCTGGGGCCCCACGCACTGCCCCACCTTTCTGCTCCTGGATCTGTTAACAGCCACGTTTGTTTGTATGATGTGTTTCCTGAGTCGTTATTGCCAAAGTTGGCCTCAGCTGGATACAGTGGGAGTGACTGTACCCACTTGACAGATGGGATGACTGGGGCCCTCAGAGGGGCAGCGGTGGGTGGACCCCCTGTGCTGGGCTCTCTGGGGGGAGCTGACCGGCATGCATCGGGTGGCCCTGGGCAGAGCACCTGTGCTGGTCCTCTCCACTGGCTCTCACCAGCGCCCTCTGCTGGTTGCTCCCATGCAGAACTCGGCCTCAGAGGGCAGTGAGCCTGGGCAGGGCTTCCACAAGCTGGTGCCTCTCCAGGCAGGTAGAGGGAGACCTGCGTCTACACTGCCTTCCCGCCAACACTCGCTGAGCACCCCTCACATGTGAGGTGCTGAAGCCAGCACAGGGCACCTGCTCCGAAGGCAGTGGCTCTGTTGATATCAAAGCAGAAGGTGAGAGCTGGCACTGTGGTGCAGCGGGGTAAAGGCACTGCCTGCAGCCCCGGCATCCCATATGGGCGCCGGTTCGAGTCCCAGCTGCTCCGCTTCTGATCCAGATCTCTGCTAATGCGCCCGGGAAAGCAGCGGAGGATGGCCCAAGAGCTGGGGCCCCTGCACCCTCTTGGGAGACCTGGAAGAAGCTTCTGGCTTCTGGTTCAGCCCTGGCCGTTGCTGCCACTTGGAGAGTAAACCAGTGGATAGACCAAGCTCTCTGTCTCCCTCTGTAACTCTGCCTTTCAAATAAACAAAAAGAAATCTTTAGAAAGAGAGCGAAGAAAGACACACAACATGACTGTAGTAACTAAAAGAAGCCACAGGGCAAAGGGAGATTTCTCCTTCCTTTTTTTTCCTCCTATCTTTCCTTCCTCCAGCAGAAAGAGACAGATGTACCACCCGCTGTTCACTCCCCAAAAGCCACAGTGGATCCAGCCGAAGCTGAGAGCCGGGACTCTGCAGGCCTCCCACGTGGGTGGTGGGGATCCGATTACATGAGGCACCATCAGCGCCTCTAGGTCTGCACTAGCAGGAAGCTGGAATCTGGAGCAGAGCCAGGGCTCGAGCCCAGGCCCTCCCACGTGGGACGTCCCGGCTGACTCACGTCCACCAGGCCGCATGTCCACGCCAGGGCTCGGAGCTTTTATTATTATTATTATTTATTTGAAAGAATTAGAGGTCTTCCCTCTATTGGCTCACTCCCCCAAATGGCTGCAACAGCCAGGGCTGGGCCAGGCCAGAGCCAGGAGACAGGAGCTTCTCCCTGGTCTCCTTCGTGGGTGGGAGGGGCCCAAGCGCTTGAGCCATCTTCTCTTCCCAGGCCCAATAGCAGGGAGCTGGATCAGAAGTGGAGCGAGCAGCTGGGGTGCCAACGCTGTAGACAGCGTCTTAACCCACTACGCCACAGCGCCGGCAGTGGGTTCAGTGCTTTGATCACTGTCCACACCTGCTGTGGGCCAGGCCTGGCTGGTCTACACACCCTGAAACACGCTTCCATGGCCAAGGAAGGCCGACTGTGAGAAGTGGGCCAGCGCTGTGGCGTACGAGGCTAAGCCTCTGCCTGCCGCACCAGCATCCCATGTGGGCGCCAGTTCGTGTACTGGCTGCCCCTTTTCCGATCCAGCTCTCTGCTGTGGCCTGGGAAAGCAGTGGACCTTGGCCCAAGTCCTCGGGCCCCTGCAACCCGTGTGGGAGACCTGGAAGAAAGTCCTGGGTCCTGGCTTTGGATCGACTCAGCTCTGGCCATTGTGGCCACTTGAGTGAACCAGTGGATGGAAGCCCTCTCTCTGTGCCTCTGCCTCTCTTGCTGGGCTGGAGTGGAGGTGGGGCACCCCAGCTGGAGGTACCAGAGTGTGGAGGGCACGAACTCGGAGCATACAGCAGAGACTTAAGGGAGGAGGGAGCTCTGGGGGTTGAAGGAGGGACGGGGAGAGGATGAGGCAGGGGCGGGGCTTGGGGACAGATGCTGCGGGGCCAAAGGGTCTGCGCTCCATCCTGAGACACAGGACTTTAGCTGGACTGACCCGGTCAGATCTGTGTTTTATGGAGACCCTGCTGGCGGCCCGAGGTCCAAGCCCTGGAGGGAAGGAAGGGCCGGAAGCAGCGGTCATGGCAAATGGCCACTTAGAGAGAGGAGAGCCAGGGGGTAGCAGGGCGGCCCTTTCACCCTGGGGTGAATGATTCTTTTCCGTACGAGCATTGGGAACCTGGCCTTGCCTGGCCCAGAGCCCCAGAAAAGTGGGGAGCCCAGAGGATCGCGAGGCCTGGCTGTGCAGGGAGAGGACCAGCGTTTGCCCCTAGACCTGCCAGACCCATGTGGGGCCGGGAAGGCAGACCCTACCTCCCTGCAGGCCAGGCGGTCCCAGAACTCAGTCCCTGGGGTCTCCCTGGAGTGAGCTGGGCAGGGCAGTGCGGCTGGAATCCAGCTTCCCGTGCTCCTTCCTGGCCTTGGATCGGGATGCAGCTGAGAGATTGATTGATTTGAAAAGACAGTTACAGAGAGGGAGAGACAGAGCTCTTCCATTCGCTGGTTCACTCCCCAAATGGCCTCATCAGCTGGGGCGGGGCCAGGCACGAGCCAGAAGCCTGGAATTCCATCCGGGTCTCCCAAGGGGGTGCAGGGCCCAAGCACTGGGGCCATCCTCCACTGCTTCCCCAGGCCATAGCAGAGAGCTGGGTTGGAAGTGGAGCAGCCGGGACTTGAACCAGTGCCCATACGGGATGCCGGAGCTGCAGGCGGGGGCTTTACCCTCTAGGACACAGTGCCGGCCCTGCAGCTGGCCTTTGAGATTGGGAACAAACAGGGGGCCTGATGGACTGTCCTTGCCTGGCCCTCTCCTGAAGCCTGCTGCCCAGCCCCGCACAGCCCTGCCCAGAGCCCCTCAGAATCAGCAGGCTCGGGGCTGGCTTGGGGGTGGGGGCGCAAGCCGGGCTCCAAGCAGAGCCACAGCCATTGGAAGCCCAATGTCGGCCCGCAGTTGCTGACTCTCTTATGGGGAGGCGGGGTTAGCACTGGCGGGAATCCGCTGATGAGACGCGTTTGACATCTGTGACAGGTCTCTGCCCACCACACCGCAGCGCTGGTCACACTGGGGCGTGGCCGCAATGCCCAACTCCACCCCCGGGGTCTTGGCCTCTCAGGCTTTGCAAGGGGAATGCATCTCTGGCCACAGCCATTGGACCAGGGTGGACCAGGGCTGGGCTCCCATTGGCCAGTCTGCAGCCTATGAGGTGGCCTGGTGCTAGTGTCCTGGAGACAGGAGCCAATCAGCTCACGTGTCTTGGAAGAACCAAACTGCTAAGTGGCGGGGGGAGGTTCTTGAGGTCACTTGCACATCAGAATGACTAGCTCACGGGTGTCCTCGCATCATCGAATGGATTCTCGATGGATCTGGGGGCACTGGTGTCTCAGAGCTTCTTGGCAAAGCCACTGTAGCTGGGTCACGTGGCTGGACTCCCCTTTCCTTTTGCAGAACCAATCTGTTGGGTACTGATGTACCCATTTTACAGATGAGTAAACTGAGGCTCGGTGGGGCCAAATAGGATACCATGTTAGCAACAGTAACGACTTAGGGCCCATCCTGCCAAAGAGGCACTGAAAAAAATGAGCAAGAACTCTTGGAACCAACTTTGCTGGAGCTCTGGCAGATAGTCCAGGGTTTAAATAAACAGGCGAACACCACTTCAAGAAAGAGACAACTAAAAAAATGCTTGAGAGCCTGTGGTGCTCCATTTGCCCTGTTCCTTCCCCTCCTGGAGCTGGTGGCTGGGAAGAAGGCGCTCCCAGGGGGACACCACTGCTGGGTCCGCGGGAGCAGAGCTCTGGGAGAATCCTTCGTCTCCGTGTGGCCTGGCCGGGGCTACCCGAGGGCCGACGATGGGCACTTGCCTGTGTTTGCTGAGGTCTCGCTCAGAACAGGGAAGCTTCTACTCAGAGGGCGTTCTCGGAACCCGGAAGGCAACTCGGCAGTCCTCTGGGGTCTGCGGCAAATACCAGACATGCTGGATCCACTGATCCAACCCCCCAGGGCGGGCGCTGACACACTGGGATCCACTGATCCAACCCCCCAGGGCGGGCGCTGACACGCTGGGATCCACTGATCCAACCCCCCAGGGGCAGGCGCTGACACGCTGGGATCCACTGATCCAACTCCCCAGGGGCGGGCGCTGACACGCTGGGATCCACTGATCCACTCCCCAGGGGCGGGCGCTGACACGCTGGGATCCACTGATCCACTCCCCAGAAGTGGGAGCTGACACGCTGGGATCCACTGATCCAACCCCCAGGGGCAGGCGCTGTGGTGCAGTGGGTTAAAGCCCCAGCCTGCAGTGCCCGGCACCCCATATGGACGCCAGTTCAAGTTCCGGCTGCTCCACTTCCAATTCAGCTCCCTGCTACTGCGCCTGGGAAAGCAGCGGCAGAAAGCTGAAGTGTTTGGGCTCCTGCCACCCACAAATGGGACCAGGAAGAAGCTCCTGGCTCCTGGCTTCAGCCTGGCCCAGCCTTGGCTGTTGCAGCCACTTGGGGAGTGAACCAGAGGGTACAAGATTTCTCTGTCTCTCCCTCTCTTTTTTCTATAATTCTGCCTTTCAAATGAAAAAAAAATACTTTTTTTTCTTAAATATGTTGGCCGGAGTTAATTTAAAAAATGATTCAGGAGCCAGCGCTGTGGTGTAGCAGATTGCCAGCATCCCATATGGGCACCAGTTTGAGTCCCAGCTGCTCCACTTCTGATCCAGCTCCCTGCTAATGCTCCTGGGAAAGCAGCAGAAGACGGCCCAAGTGCTTGGGTCCCTGCACCCACGTGGGAGACCCAGAAGAAGCTCCTGGCTCCTGGCTTTGGCCTGGCCCACAGCCCTGGCTGTTGCAGTCATCTGGAGAGTGAACCAGCTGATGGAAGATTTCTCTCTCTCTCTCTCCCTCTCTCTCCCCTCCCCCCATCTCTGTGTAACTCTTTCAAATAAAATAAAAATAAAATTTTTTTTTTGACAGGCAGAGTGGACAGTGAGAGAGAGAGAGAGAGAGAAAGGTCTTCCTTTGCCGTTGGTTCACCCTCCAATGGCCGCCGCGGCCGGCGCGCTGCGGCCGGTGCACCACGCTGATCCCATGGCAGAAGCCAGGAGCCAGGTGCTTTTCCTGGTCTCCCATGGGGTGCAGGGCCCAAGCACCTGGGCCATCCTCCACTGCACTCCCTGGCCACAGCAGAGGGCTGGCCTGGAAGAGGGGCAATCGGGACAGAATCCGGCGCCCCGACCGGGACTAGAACCTGGTGTGCCGGCGCCGCTAGGCGGAGGATTAGCCTAGTGAGCCGCGGCGCCGGCCAAAAACAAAAATTTTTAAAGCAGGTGGTTGTTGGGGAAGGCATTCAGCCAGGTGAAGACAACAGTCAAAACCCCTGTGTCCCATTTGGAGTCCCAGGTTCGAGTCCTGCTCCAGCTTCCTGCTAATGCGGACCCCGGGAGGCAGCGGCAGTGGCTCCAGTGACTGGGCGCCTGCCTCCCACATGGAGAGCTGGGCTGAGCTCCTGGCTCCTGGCTTCAGCTTAGCAGGGGTCTGCTGAGGGCTCGCTCTGGCTCTCAGTGTCTCTCCTCTCAAAATAAATACATAAAAATTAGCAAACAAAAAAGGCACCTGGCTCAAGACCGGACCACAGACTCAAACCTCCATCTTCAGCACCCACTCTGCCTGCGCTGCTTCCCAAGGAAAGTGGCTCTGGCTGCCCCGGGGTGCCATGGGGGGCAGCGGACAGCAGCCAGCGTCCTTGTGTCTGGCTCAGGCAAAGCATTGCTCCCAGCTCCTGGGGGTGGGCCCGGGGGCTCCAGAGCCACGCTCTGAGGACTTGGGGAGGGTGGGCAGGATGAGAGCTCTCTGAGAGTCGGGGAAGAATGATCGGTCGGGAGTGGGCAGACCTCGCCCCAGGGGCTGTTGGGAGAACTCGGGGGTGGAAAACTCCAGCCAATGACCTTCCTCTGGAGCAGAGTGGTCCAATTAGCTGACTTCCAGGCCCCGCGCCGGGCTTGATGTGACTGGGGACAGAACACGGTTGAAATTGGCAGCTGGGGAAAGTCATTTGTGAATGACACGATATGCGGCTGAACCGACTCCGTTCTAGGGAGCTGGGATGGTGCTGGGTGTAGACGGCAGAGACCAGTCTGGAAAGACATGGGACCTGGGGGCCCGCGCTGTGGCGTAGTGGGCTGAGTCGCTGCCTGCAGCACCAGCGTCCCGTATGGGCTCAAGTTCCATTCCAGCTACCCCACTTCCGATCCAGCTCCCTGCTAATGCACCTGGGAAAGCAGCGTAAGATGGCCCAAGTGCTTGGGCCCCTGCACCCACGTGGGAGACCCGGATGCAGCTCCTGGCTTCTATCTGGTCCAGCCCCAGTTCCTTGTGGCCATCTGGGGAGGGAACCAGCAGATGGGAGATATTGCCCTCTCTCTGTAACTCCGCCTTTCAAATAAACAAATTAAAAAAAAAAAAAAAGGCTGGGGAGTCTGGGTGGAATCAGCAGTATTGGCTCATCCTGGCTCACCTCGTGTGTTGGTTTGACTGGGCTGTGGCACCGACACATGATCAAACACCAGTGTAAGCGTGGCTGTGGGTGTCCTTTTTGGGCCAGATTAACCTTTTTATTTTATTTATTTGAAAGACAGAGTTACAGAGAGAAGTAGAAACAGAGAGAGAGGTCCCCCATCCGCTGGTTCACTCCCCAGATGGCTGCAATGGCCAGAGCTGGGCCAATCTGAAGCCAGGAGCCAGGAGCTTCTTCCAGGTCTCCCACGTGGGTGCAGGGGCCCGAGCACTTGGACCATCTTCTACTGCTTTCCCAGGCCACAGCAGAGAGCTGGATAGGAAGAAGAGCAGCCAGGACAGGAAGCAGTGCCCATATGGGATGCCGGCACTGCAGGGGGAGGCTTAACCCACTACACCACAGCGCTGGCCCCCAGATACACACTTCTTACATCGCAGAATCACGTTGCCACAATGTGGGTGGGCCTCATCCGGTCAGGTGAAGGCCGTAAGGGAAAACACTGAGGGGGCGGGAATCCAGCCCCATAGCCACAGCTGCCTTCCTCCCAGAAGCCCTAAGGACAGGGGCTGAGGGGCCGCACTGGGCTGCAGAACGTGGCTCCCCAACCCCTCCTCAAGGCAACACCCCCAGCACCCTCCTGTGGGGGGGGGGGGGTCAGGGGAGAGCATGGGGAACGCCGCCCCCCCGCCCCCCCCCCAGGCTGCTGCACCTGCACAGGATACACAGCCAAGTCCTCGCCCTACGAGGCCAAGCAAGTGGTGCTGGGTCTGCACCCTGGGGTGGGGGGATCAGGAGGCCGACTCCGCTAACAACTTAAACAGACACCACTGCCCCCACCCGGTTCCGCCTCCACTGGGGTCTTCTCTCGGGCACCGGCGAGAAAGAAGCACACACCTTCGCCCCGCCGCGCACAGACAGGGCTCAGACACCTGGGGCACACCCAGGTGGGAGGCGAGAAAGCCCGGACCTGGACCCCAGTCCTCTGCACCCTCGTTTTCTTCAGCTCGCTGCTCCCCACAGGCAGAGTGTAGAAAATTAAAGCGCGCTCTCCCCCTGTAAAACAGGGCCGACGAGGATGGGATTCGAACCCACGCGTGCAAAGCACAATGGATTAGCAGTCCATCGCCTTAACCACTCGGCCACCTCGTCCCACGGGCGCCAACTCCTTCCCGCATCCCCTTATCTCGCATCTCCTCCGCGCGTCCCGGGCCCGACCGCACCCCCCAGCGTCGACCCGGTGGGACCGGAGGCGGGGAGAAACGGGGGGGACACAACAGGAGAGCTGTTTTATTTCCCGTCGGCGCGCCTCTGCCGGGAGCCCGCGCGCGACGCTGCGGCCGCCGAGCCCCCTCCCCGGGTCGGGACGAGCGCGCCGGGGCGCCGGGGTTTCAGGCCCCGGGGGTCGCGCGCCGACCCGAGCTCCGCCGGGGGAGCGCGTCCCGGGCAGCCCGCGGCCGCGGCGGCCAGCTCCGGCGTTCGCGGAGCGCGCGGCGCCGCGGCGGCTGCTCCGCCTCCCGCTCCCGGCGCGGGCGGTGGGCGGGGCGGCGCGCGGGGTCGGCTCGCCTCGGCTCGCCTCGGCTGCGCTCGGGACGCTGCGGTAGATCCGGGCTTGCGGCGGCCGGCAGAAGCTGCGGCCCGGTGGTCCCTGCCGCGCGCCCCGAGCCCCGAGAGCCATGCAGATGTCCTACGCCATCCGGTGCGCCTTCTACCAGCTGCTGCTGGCCGCGCTCATGCTGGTGGCGATGCTGCAGCTGCTCTACCTGTCGCTGCTGTCCGGGCTGCACGGCCAGGAGGAGCAAGACCAGTACTTCGAGTTCTTCCCGCCGTCCCCGCGCTCCGTGGACCAGGTCAAGGCGCAGCTCCGCACGGCGCTGGCCTCCGGAGGCGTCCTGGATGCCAGCGGCGACTACCGCGTCTACCGAGGCCTCCTCAAGACCACCATGGACCCCAACGATGTCATCCTGGCCACGCACGCCAGCGTGGACAACCTGCTGCACCTGTCAGGCCTGCTGGAGCGCTGGGAGGGCCCGCTGTCCGTGTCGGTGTTCGCGGCCACCAAGGAGGAGGCGCAGCTGGCCACGGTGCTGGCCTACGCGCTAAGCAGCCACTGCCCCGACATGCGGGCCCGGGTCGCCATGCACCTCGTGTGTCCCTCGCGCTACGAGGCCGCCGTGCCCGACCCTCGGGAGCCGGGGGAGTTTGCCCTACTGCGGACGTGCCAGGAAGTCTTTGACAAGCTGGCCAGGGTGGCCCAGCCCGGCGTCAACTACGCCCTGGGCACCAACGTCTCCTACCCCAACAACCTGTTGAGGAATCTGGCCCGGGAGGGGGCCAACTACGCCCTGGTGATTGACGTGGACATGGTGCCCAGCGAGGGGCTGTGGCGAGGCCTGCGGGAAATGCTGGACCAGAGCAGCCAGTGGGGGGGCACGGCCCTGGTGGTGCCCGCCTTCGAGATCCGCCGGGCCCGCCGCATGCCCATGAGCAAGACGGAGCTGCTGCAGCTCTACCAGGTGGGCGAGGTGCGGCCCTTCTACTACGGGCTGTGCACGCCCTGCCAGGCCCCCACCAACTACTCCCGCTGGGTCAACCTCCCGGAAGAGAGCCTGCTGAGGCCGGCCTACGTGGTGCCCTGGCAGGACCCCTGGGAGCCATTCTACGTGGCTGGAGGCAAGGTGCCCACCTTCGACGAGCGCTTCCGGCAGTACGGCTTCAACCGCATCAGCCAGGTGCCCGCGGGGGGCGGGGTGGGCTGGGGGACAGGGGTGGTGCAGCAGCAGGGGCTGGGTGAGGAGGGGTGCCTGGGGGGGTGAGGACGCTGGAGCATGGCCGGGGTGTCCGCCTCCGCCTCCCCCAGCCTCGCTGACCCGTCTCTCCCCCGCAGGCCTGCGAGCTGCACGTGGCGGGGTTTGATTTCGAGGTGCTGAACGAAGGCTTCCTGGTCCACAAGGGCTTCAAAGAGGCTCTGAAGTTCCACCCGCAGAAGGAGGCCGAGAACCAGCACAATAAGATCCTTTACCGCCAGTTCAAGCAGGAGCTAAAGGCCAAGTACCCCAGCTCGCCCCGCCGCTGCTGAGCCCCGCGGGGCCGGGGTGGCGCTGGACTCGACTGCGGGGCGCCCACCACTCTCGAGCTGTGTGGCCTTGAGCAAAGTCCCTTACCTCTCTGAGCCTCCGCCCCCTTGTCCGGAAGGGCGGTGAGGGCGCCTACCTCACAGAACCGCTGCGAGGCTCAGAGGAGACGCTGTGCGTGAAACGTCAGCTTCGTGCACCTGTGAAGTGTCGTTACTATTATTACAGTATTGTTGTTGTTGTTGTTGTTAACCATCCGGGGCGAACAGTGTGAAGCCGGCAGGGCTAGGGGCCGAGGACCCGGCGAAATGCGCTTTTTTTTATTAAGGAAAAAACGAGTTAGAATCCAGTTCCCCTAGGTTCCCCCTGGCCTCCGCCCCTGAGGGCGCGGGAGGCGGGAAGTGTAAATAAACGCGTGTTCACACCACGGCTGGCTCCGTTACTCTCCCGAGCTGGGGGCGGGGGCGGGCTCTCCCCCTGCACACCACGGGGAGGTGACGGCGGGCGGAGGGCGGCCCGCTGCTCAGCCGGAAACCCACGAGCGGCCTTCCCCGCGGGGAAGGCCTGCGGAGACGGTCCGCCCGTCGCTATGGAAACCGGCCCGCGGTATCCCAGCATGCCTCGGCCCCCGCGGTCCAATGGTGAGCTTCCCCCGGCGGGCGCCTCCTGATGACGCACGCGGAAGCACCGGCAGGCCCCGCCCCCCGGAGGAGAGGGACTGCATAGAGTTTCCGGAAGCTCGGCCGCGGGGTCCATCGCCGGCAGCCTGTGACTCGGACCCAGGGAGACTCGGACGTGAGGCCAGAGGCCGCACTGCCCGCGGTGCGTATTGTCACGTCCGGCGCCCGGTTCTGCGCCTCCGGTCAATCGGCGGGAGCCGGCACGACCTCCTGCTCCTGCGGGGCGGAAGCGGAGACTTAACCGGCTTGACGCGTGCGGGGCTGCGGGGTTGCGGGGCCGCAGAAGCGCAGGCGATTCTCTCGGGCTGCGTCGGCGCATCTCGGGGTGGAGCAGGGCGGGAGGCTCCCAGGACGCCTCGGAGAGGCTGCGGGAGTGGGGAGGGGTCTGCCTCCCGGGAGGTGGGGGTGGCCGGCCTTGGCGGAGCTTCAGTCCGCAGAGACAAATTGATTTCGCGCAGCGCTTTACCGCCTTGGCGATCGTTCCAGCACTCGGAGCGGGAGTGAGCTTTCTCTTTTTGCAAGTGGAGGGTGCGGCTTGATGGAGCTCGTAGGGCGGGGCCGAGTCTTAGAACGGAGGCTTCCCTGGCCAGGGCAGAGGCATTGCACCTGTCGGGAACCGAGGCGTGAGAGTGCGGAAGAGGAGGCTGCGGCCTTGCTCATCGCTGACCTCTGCGGAGGCAGCGGGCACTGCTCACTGCTGGGATCGGTGTCGGGGGGAAGTGGCCGCCACCTCCGGGACCGGGGTACCTTGAAGTGAAGGCTAAGTGTTGCCCGGCGACCGTTGCTTTAATTTACATTGGCCAGGCCTCTGCTGGGGGAGGAGGCAGGTGTGCAGCCTTCGCCCTGACGAGGCTGTGGCTTCAGTATCAGCTGTCTACACCCGCCCCAGCACTCACATTGGAGCTTAAAAGGCAGAAACTTAATCCAACTCTGGTGTTGGTGGGGGGGCCTTTGAGACGAGGTCGGGATTAGACGGTGTCGGCAGGGTGAGGCCCTGGAGAGGGACCGGAGGAGACGCGTGCGCCCCACCCCCCTGTCCATCACCCCGGGATGGTGCCGCCATCTGGCGACCCTGCAGTCACCCGGTGCCGCCCCTCAGCCTTGGACCAGAACTGTGAGCCCGAATAAATCTGTTTTCTGTGTAACGCACCCAGTCTGTGGTGTTGTTATTAGCAACAGGAGACAGACTAGGATGCAAACAAGCAGCGGCCCCCTCCCCGGCCCCAGGAGCCGTGTCTACACCGTCGCTGGGAAGACAGCACAGTGAGGGCAGAGGGCCGGCCTGCCGCCCAGGCCCGCGGGGTCCCCCGTCCAGGGGCCTCGGCGGCAGCTGGTGCTGTCCTGCGTCTTCCTCCTTTGTGGCGGTCTCCTCATCTGCCGCTTTGTGGCCCGGGAACGCCGTGGAGGGCCTCGCTCTGCCAGCCGCACCCTCTGCCCTGGCCTGCAGAGCTTGGCGCTGTGCTGATGGCCGGCCCTCTCGTTTCTGGGTCTTTGCACTTGGGACTCACTGCCCGGCACGCTCAGCTCGCGGTCTGTCCTGGTCCTCTGGTCCTGCTTGGACGCCCCAGTGCCCAGCTGCAGCCGCCCCCCGCCCCCGCCTGCTGCGTTGCCCCTCTCTGCCAGGAACCGTGAGCTCCTCCAGGTCGGGGATGTCTTTGTCACAGTTGTGGCCTGGCCCCTGGCACCTGCAGGGTCCAGCGGTCCCCGGGTGGTGCTCCGTGAATGTGAGGTGGTGACTACGGGAGGAATGACTGACAGTGTTCCGGGGTGCCGGGAGCCCCTGCAGGCTCAGTCTCAGCTTGGAGTGACAGGTGCAGCAGCACACGGAACAGGCCGGAGGTGAAAGTGAAGAACCCTGGGGTGGGCTTTAGGGTGAAGATGCTTCTTGGAGCCCCCGGGCCCCCTACTGGAGTGCCCTGTCCCAGCTTCCTGCTGGCGCACACCCCTGCGCGCTGGGTCCCTGCCCCCCACCCTGGAGGCCTGGCTGGAGTTCCCCTCTCAGCTTTGCCTGAGCAGCCCCGGCCATTGCTGGCAGGTGGGGAGTACATCACCGGACGGAGGCCTGCCCTCTCTGCCCCTCCGCTAAATAGCAAAGCTAGTTTTTTTTGTTTGTTTGTTTGTTTGTTTTTGACAAGCAGAGTTAGAGAGAGACAGAGAGAGAGTTGTAGACAGTGAGAGAGAGAGACAGAGAGAAAGGTCTTCCTTCCATTGGTTCACCCCCCAAATGGCTGCTACAGCCAGAGCTACGCCAATCCGAAGGCAGGAGCCAGGTGCTTTTCCTGGTCTCCCATGGGGTGCAGGGCCCAAGCACTTGGGCCATCCTCCACTGCACTCCCTGGCCACAGCAGAGGGCTGGCCTGGAAGAGGGGCAACCCGGACAGAATCCGGCATCCCAACCGGGACTAGAACCCGGTGTGCCGGCACCGCAGGCGGAGGATTAGCCTAGTGAGCTGCAGCGCCGGCCCAAAACTAGTTTTAAGAGGGTAAGAACAGCCAGCGTGCGGGCCTTGAGAAGTGGAGCTGGAAAGTGCAGCTGAGTGAGGCGGGTGGGGCTCGGTTCCTGCTTTCTCAGCGGGAGAAGGCGCCCGGGCGGAGCCTGCCGTCTTAGCGCGGCGCCGCTCCACGGCGATACCTGAGCCTCGCACTTAGTGAAGAGCAGGAATCGTGGTTCTCACAGTTCTGGGGCCCGGACAGTCCACGTCGAGGGCCCCCCGTCTGGCCACCCGCATCGTCTCTTGGCAGAGGGCAGGAGGGCGAGCGAGAGCAGAGGGGAGGGGGCCAAACATCCTTCCATCGGAACCTGCCCGGTGCTGACCGAGCCGCCCGCAGGGACACCGCCAGCGCACGCGCTCATCGCCTCTGTCGCCTCGGGTTGTTCCTGACGCATGAACCTTGGGAGACGTTGAAAACAGTGCACCGGCCAGGAGGAGGGACTGGCCCACGGAGGCCAGGAGGAGGGACTGGCCCACGGAGGCCAGGAGGAGGGACTGGCCCACGGAGGCCAGGAGGAGGGACTGGCCCACGGAGGCCAGGCCTCTCTGGCCCCAGAGGAAGCGGGAGCCAAGCCGAGGACGGAGGACCATACCAGAAGAGATGCTGAGGGCACGCCGCGGGCAGAGGAAGGCGGGCGCAGGAGCTGGACTGGTTCCGGGGCAGGCTGAGGGGCCTGGGCGGCCTGGGCCACCTGCCCGTGGGTCGTAGGTGGCACCAACAACAGCGCCCAGCTCCTGTGAGAGGCGCACCCAGCCATCCACACCCCTGCCACGCAGGGCGTGGCTCCACCGGCCCTGCTGCCCGCCTCAGGGGCCAGGTCTGCCCTGCCCTGCGCTCCCTGAGCCGGGGGCAGTGGAGTGATGCCTGCCCCCCCCCCCCGAGCCCAGATGCCCATCCAGCCGCCCGGCAAAGACCCCGAAGAGATGGAAGCGGAGGGCGACTCGGCTGCCGAGATGAACGGGGAGGAGGAAGAGAGCGAGGAGGAGCGGAGCGGCAGCCAGACCGAGTCGGAGGAGGAGAGCTCAGGTGAGGCGCAGGTGCGCGGGCAGCGCGGTGGCCGCCCGCCCCGTGCAGAGCCAGCCCTGACCGGCCTCTCGTCCCAGAGATGGACGACGAGGACTACGAGCGGCGCCGCAGCGAGTGCGTCAGCGAGATGCTGGACCTGGAGAAGCAGTTCTCGCAGCTGAAGGACAAGTGAGGGGCGGGGCCGGGGAGCCGGGGGTGGGGTCTGGGGGGCCAGGGGCGGGGCCGGGGAGCGGGGGGGGGTCTGGGGGGCCAGGGGCGGGGCCGGGGGGCCGGGGGTGGGGTCTGTGGGGCCAGGGGCGGGGCCGGGGGGCCCAGGGTGAGGGGCGGGGAGCCGGGGGGTCTAGGGGGCCAGGGGCGGGGTCTGGGGGGCAGGGCCGGGGAGCCTGCGGGGTCTGGGGGGCAGGGCCGGGGAGCCTGGGCGGTCTGGGAGGCCCAGGGTGGGGGCGGGGAGCCTGTGGGGTCTGTGGGGCCCTGGCTGGGGCCAGGGAGCCTGCAGGGTTTGTAGGGCTAGGGGCGGGGCTGGGGAGCCTGTGGGGTCTGTGGGGGGGGGTCTGTGGGGCCCCGGGCGGGGCCAGGGAGTCTGCAGGGTCTGTGGGGCCCAGGGTGGGGGCAGGGAGCCTGTGGGGTCTGTAGGGCCAGGGGCAGGACCGGGGAGCCTGTGGGGTCTGTTGGGGGGGGTCTGTGGGGCCCCGGGCAGGGCTGGGGAGCCTGCAGGGTCTGTGGGGCCCAGGGGGGGGCGGGGAGCCTGTGGGGTCTGTAGGGCCAGGGGCAGGACCTGGGAGCCTGTGGGGTCTGTAGGGCCAGGGGCAGGACCTTGGAGCCTGTGGGGTCTGTAGGGCCAGGGGCAGGACCGGGGAGCCTGCGGGTGTCTGTAGGGCCAGGGGCGGGGCCGGGGAGCCTGTGGGGTCTTGGGGGGCAGGCCCGTCCCCTGTTTGCCCAGGTGTGGTGGGTGAGCAGAGGCTGCTCCCTGGCCTTTTCCGCTTCCCAGGTTGTTCAGGGAGCGCCTGACTCAGCTGCGCCTGCGGCTGGAGGAAGTGGGGGCTGAGACGGCCCCTGAGTACATGGAGCCCCTTGGGGGGCTGCAGCGCAGCCTGAAGATCCGCATTCAGGTGGCAGGTGTGTGGCCGTCCTGCGCCCCGCGGCCCCGCCCCGTTCTCTCGGGCGCCGGGGCTCCCAGGCAAGGCCCCTCTCCCCTCCGCAGGCATCTACAAGGGCTTCTGTCTGGACGTGATCAGGAACAAGTACGAGTGTGAGCTGCAGGGTGCCAGACAGCACCTGGAGGTGAGGCGGGGCAGGGGCGGGGGCGGGCTGGCCGGGCGAGGGGCGCCGCCTGCCCCCACCCCGCTCAGCCCCGCTGCTGCCTCGCAGAGCGAGAAGCTGCTGCTCTATGACACGCTGCACGGGGAGCTGCAGGAGCGGATCCAGAGGCTGGAGGAGGACCGCCAGAGCCTGGACCTCAGCTCCGGTGAGGGCAGCCCCCGGGCCTCGGCAGCCCTGCCGCGCAGGGTGGAGTCCATGCGGGTGTCCTGGGGTCCCTGTGAGGGCTCCGGTGAGGGCAGCCCCCGGGCCTCGGCAGCCCTGCCGCGCAGGGTGGAGTCCGCGCAGGGTGGAGTCTGTGCCGGTGTCCCGGGGTCCCAATGAGGACAGCATGAGACCGGGCCTGGAAAAGCAAACCCAGTGCCTGGCACGCAGCAGGGACTTGGGGAGCCGTGGTCCCCTTGCCGTCCCCGTCCGTGCCCCTTTAAAGACCAGGGGTGAGCTGTCTGGCAGGCCCACGTGTACAGTGGCCACCCTCCCCGTGTGCGGTCACTGCCCCACCGCCCACGGAGCAGTAGGTCCGAGGCTCGTGGAAGTGCGGTGGCCCCTGTCCGTTGCTTGCCCACTCAGGAATTCAGGACCTCAGCAGCCCTAGTGGGATTCCGGCCCCCAGCCCGGGGTCTCGTCCCCACCCTGGGTGCCGAGGGAGGAGGGGAGGTCCAGGAGGCCGGTGTCCTGGGCGAAGGGTGCGTGTGGGAGCGGCCTGCGGGGTCCTGACTTGGGTCTGGGGGCACAGAGTGGTGGGATGACAAACTCCACGCCAGAGGCAGCGCGAAGACCTGGGACGCGGTGCCACCCAGCAAGAGGAAGAAGGCACCTCTGGTTTCCGGTATCCTTCCACGCACGGGGGCCCGAGACGGGCAGGTGTCAGGGTCAGCCCCGAGCTGGGAGTGGGCGGGTGGAGGGGACGCAGACCGGCCACCTTCGCTCGGTGACTGCCGTGGCGAGGCCGAGCCAACTGCCCGCACCCAGTGAGCCCCGCGGCGTCCGCGGTGAGGCCTTCGAGGCCTCCCTGGCTCTCCCGGATGCTGGTGGTGTTGGTCTGCGGCCACCGGTGGCAGAGTGGGCACAGGCGGAGAGAGGGGTCCGGAAGGCAGTGACTCGAGGGGTGGGGCGGAGGGGGTGAGGGCGTGGACGCCAGGTAGGGAGCTGTGGTTTTGGTGGGGAGGCCCCTAGGAGCGACTGGGCTCGGCCGGCCGGCCTGGAGGAAGGAGGTGAGGGCAAGGGGGGTAGGGGTGGTGCCTGGTGCCCTCCGTGGACTGGGTGAACCAGGCCCCGAGTCCCCCTCCCTACCACGGGGGACCAGGGGACTCCGAGGTAGGAGGTGGCTCCTGGGAGCTGCACGTGCACTGTCTGCACCGCCTCTGCTGGACACTGGGTGTGGGGCCGAGATGGCCACCGCGCGCCGGTCCTGCTTCCTTGACCCCTGCCGCAGGCCCCTACATCGTGTACATGCTGCAGGAGGTCGACATTCTGGAGGACTGGACGGCCATCAAGAAGGTGGGTGCCTGGCCCCGCTGCAGGCCGCCCCGGGGGAGGGCGGGAGGGAAGGTGGGAAGCCGGGCTGGGCAGATCCAGACCCGGAAGAGTCGTGCCACCCGCCCTGGCCCGCTCTCTGATGCGTGGAGGGCAGCGTCCTCAGGGCTGTGCTCACCCACGCAGGCGCGGGCAGCTGTGTCCCCTCAGAAGAGGAAAGCGGATGGTAAGTGTGGGGGTCTGCCTCGCCCCCTCCCATCCCCCGTGTGCCCAGGGAGAGGGGGCGGTGGCAGAGCCTTACTAGGTTGGAGGGGTTTGGGGGCCGGGGAGCGGGCGGTGCCCTCCGCGCCTCTGCGTCCGGCTGCCTCTGACCAGCGATGATTTTCCCTCCCACTTCCCCAGGGCCATGACCCTGCTGCCCCCAGCCAGGGGGTTCCCGGAGCAGCTGGCACTGAACGCAGGCCTCGCGTACTCTTGCTGTGGGGAGGCAGACAGACAAGCCCCCCGGGGTGGCCGCAGTGCTGCCGGGACGTCCCCCTCTGGCCTGCACTGGTCTGCATTCCTGCGCCTTAGGGCCTGCACAGCTGTGGCTCGAGAGCTGACCGGCCAGGCAAGACTGTCACCTCCGCCCCTGGCCACGAAGAAGGACCTTGACTCAAGCCAAAGCAGCATCCTGCCCGCCCCTCGGGCCCTGGCTCTCTGCAGCCTCCGGGCCACGGCAGCGGGCCCCACTGCCCGGGAACTCTGAGCCAGGTGTCCTGTGCGCCCACCAGGCCGGAGCCGGCGGTGAGACACCGGCTCCCCGGTTCTCTCAGGTGGTTCTTGGTGTTTGCCTCCCACTCGCCAGGACTGGAATTAAAACCTCTCGTAGGGCTCTGCTGCGTCCTGTGTGTGTCTGATGGACCTTGGAGGGATCCGGCGTCCGCGGGCAGTGCCCCAGGCAGGCAGACCCTGCGCTGGTGCCTTCCCCCACTGCCCAGCAGGGGCTGGGGTGCGGGCTGGGGAAGGGGCCGGCAGAGCGTGTGGAGCACCCGGCGTGGCCAGCGGAGGGGACTGGAGCCTGGGCCCGGCCTCTGGGTCGTGTCTGCACCTGCCCTGCCGCTCGGCAGATGGGCAAGGCAGGCTGGCAGGGCCTGTGCGTGGGAGGCAGCCGGCAGCAGCGCCATGCGCTGCCGACCTCACAGCCACACTCCCCCTGCTTAGCGCGTGTCGGAACCACCCCCAGAACCCCAGTTAAGCAAAGGGGTTGGTTTCCATGGAGATGTGGCATCTTTTCTCCATGGCAACCTGAAATCCCCCAAACCCAGGTTGGGCCCAGGAGTGAGTCATCTGTGACCAGCAGGGGGTGCTCTCGCAACTGCTGACCACAGAGAGGTGGCTGAGTAACTGACCATGAGCAGGACGAAGGTGCCCCAAAGGCGGGGCTTGTGGGGACTGAGTGGGCCCCACTTAACCCCCTCCTGCCCACCCACGTGCTATAAGGAGACCAGCACGGCTGCAGGATTCACCGTGTGGAGGTGGTGCCCCCCACAGCTGGGGCCCTAGGAGTGGCGCTGGCGTGGAGGGGGATCCCTGCCCCTTGAGCCGAGTCCAGAAGCGAGAGGAAGCAGGCACCGGCCAGCAGAGTGGACGCACAAGAGTTAACTGGCGGGGTGTGCCAGGGCGCACCGCCCTCAGGAAGTGTTACTCACCGCTGGGAATGTGTGCGCCTGTGCCTGGGGGCTGGATTCTCTTCCTGAGTCCCAGGAGAAGCCGGGTAGGAGCTCCCAGCCATGGAAGCCCTGGGGGCGCCCAAGGCAGCCCCTCTCGGAGCCCCCAGCCTGTCCAGCTGCCCTCCTGGCCACCAGGAGAGAGAAAAGTTAGTGTTGAAGTTGGAAGGGCGGCCAGGTGGGGCGGGGAGGGACGGAGGAGGTGGGGGGAAGGAGCAGGCAAGGGTCCCCCCTCCCCCACAGACACCCACTCAAGTCCGGGTGCTCACCCCCAGGCCCGCCCAGGACCCTCTGTACGACGTGCCCGATGCCGGCGGGGGACAGGCAGGGGGACCCCAGCAGCCGGGGCGCATCGTGAGCCTGCGGGAGCGCCTGCTGCTCACCCGGCCCGTGTGGCTGCAGCTGCGGGCCAACGCTGCGGCCGCCCTGCACGTGCTGAGGACCGAGCCCCCGGGGGTGAGTCCCGCCCACCCCTGGCGGCCGCTGAGGGCTGGAGGCAGAGGGGCTGCACCCAGGTCCTGAGCCTCCCGCACCCATCCACTCGCAGGCGTTCCTCGTGCGGAAGTCTAACACCCACCAGTGCCAGGCCCTGTGCGTGCGGCTGCCCGAGGCCAGCGGCCCCTCCTTCGTCTCCAGCCACTACATCCAGGAGCGCCCAGGCGGTGAGAGGCGGGGCCTGCCGGGCTGTGAGCCAGTGGGGAGGGGGTGTCCCCAGAGGTCGGCCTCACCTCCCAGCTCTCGCAGGCGTCTCCTTGGAGGGCTCGGAGCTCGTGTTCCCGGACCTGGTGCAGCTCATCTGTGCCTACTGCCGGGCCCGGTGAGTCGGCCGCCCTGGGGCCCTGCCCCCCGCCCCCCCACGCCAGGCCAGCCCGGCTGTGCCGCCCCTGACGGTCTGCTCCTTCTCTGGCTTCAGGGACGTTCTTCTCCTCCCGCTGCGGCTCCCCAGAGCCATCCACCAGGCGGCCACCCACAAGGAGCTGGAAGCCATTTCCCACCTGGGCATGGGTAAGGGCCCTGCTGGCTGCCTAGCTGGACCCGCCAGGGCCAAGCGGGGAGGGAGCACCCAGCCTGGAGCCTGAGCCTCTGCTTGTCCCTAGAGTTCTGGAGCTCCTCCCTCAACACCAAGGCGCAGCAGGGGCCGCCCGACGGCGCCCGGCTGCCCCGGCTGAAGGCCCGCTCCCCTCAAGAGCTGGACCAGGGCACCGGGGCCGCCCTGTGCTTCTTCAACCCTCTGTTCCCGGGGGACCTGGGCCCCACCAAGCGGGAGAAATTCAAGAGGAGCTTCAAAGTACGCGTGTCCACCGAGACCTCCAGCCCGCTGTCCCCGCCGGCCGTGCCGCCTCCCCCGGTGCCGGAGCTGCCGGCGGCGACAGCGGCCAGCCAGGCCGAGAGGGTGCCCCCTCGCCAGCTGCTGCGGAGGGAGGGCTCCACGGGCTACCGCGTGCCCGGGGGCACTGGCCCCGGCGTCCCCCCGCTGCCCTCCCTCCAGGAGGTGGACTGCGGCTCCCCCAGCAGCTCCGAGGAGGAAGGGGCGCCCCAGTCCCGGGAGAGCCCAGCGACCTCGCCCCAGCTGGGCCGCCGGCGACCCCTGCTGCGCTCCATGAGTGCCGCCTTCTGCTCGCTGCTGGCACCCGAGCGGCAGGTGGGCCGGGCGGCCAGGGCGCTCACGCGGGACAGGCACACGGCCGTGGGCCAGCTGGTGCAGGACCTTCTGACCCAGGTGCGGGCCGGGCCTGAGCCGCAGGAACTGCAGGGCGTCCGCCAGGCTCTGAGCCGGGCCAGGGCCATGCTGAGCGCCGAGCTGGGCCCCGAGAAGCTGCTGCCGCCCGAGAGGCTGGGTGAGGCCCTGGCCGGGGCTGGGTGCTTGGCCCTTCCCCGGCTGTGTCTGCCCCTGCCCCTCGCGCATCTGCTGCCCTGCAAACCCGCCCCGCCTCGCCGCTGTCCTGCCCGCCTCCCTCACCTCCTCGCCCTCCCCCACCCTCCTCCTGCAGAGCAGGTCCTGGAGAAGTCGCTGCACCGCTGCGTGCTCAAACCCCTGCGGCCTGTCCTGGCAGCCCGCCTGCGGCGCCGGCTCTCCGCGGATGGCTCCCTGGGCCGCCTGGCTGAGGGCCTCCGCCTGGCCCGGGCCCAGGGCCCCGGGGCCTTCGGGTCTCACCTGAGCCTGCCGTCCGCCGTGGAGACGGAGCAGGTGCGCCAGAAGCTGCTGCAGCTGCTCCGCACCTACTCCCCCAGTGCCCAGGTGCAGCGGCTGCTGCAGGCCTGCAAGCTGCTGTACGTGGCCCTGAGGACGCACGCGGGTGAGCCCCCCCCCCGACACAGCATGCATGACGGCTCGGTCAGCCCTCCCATCTCACAGATGGTAAAACTGAGACCCGAGCGAGCTGCGGCCCCTCTCTGTAGCCCCTCAACTCGGGCGGTCGCTACAGCAGTGGCACCGCCCAGGGCTGGGCAGGCAGAGGACAGATCTTGACCGAGGATGGGTCTGGGCCGCTGGGCTGCCCCGGGGGGAGCCTGAAGCCTCCGCCTCCCCGTCCCCGCAGGCGAGGGTGCCGGCGCTGATGAGTTCCTGCCCCTGCTGAGCTTCGTCTTGGCCCAGTGCGACCTCCCCGAGCTGCTGCTGGAGGCCGAGTACATGTCCGAGCTGCTGGAGCCGGCCCTGCTCACGGGGGAGGGTGAGGGACCACCCAGCACACCCGCACGGAGCACCTGCCAGCCGGGGGTGGGGGCGGGGCTGGGAGCGCGCGTGAGCGCGGGCAGGTGCTTCCTGTGTCCCTTGTCCCCGTGTCCGGAGGGAGCTGCAGTCCTCCCCCCTTGTGCTCCAGGCGGCTACTACCTGACCAGCCTGTCGGCCAGCCTGGCCCTGCTGAGCAGCCTGAGCCAGGCCCACGCCCTGCCCCGGAGCCCCTCCCAGGAGCTGCAGCATTCCCTCAGCCTCTGGGAACAGCGCCGCCTGCCTGCCACCCACAGCCTCCAGGTAACAGGCCCCCTGCACCGTCCACCCCAGCCTGGCCCGGCCCGGAGCGTGGCGGGGGTGGGGGGCAGTCATGCTGGTGTCACCGTGCAGTAGCAGCAGCGCCCTTGGCAAATATCAAGTCCAGCCCAGCCGAGCCAGGGTTTCCCACCTGCCCAGCTCCGGGGTGGCCTCCAGAAACCCCAGAGGAGGGCCACGGTTCTCCCCGTTGTACAGATGAGGAAACTGAGGCTGGACACAGCAAGGGAAGGGGACAGAGGCGGCCGGCTCGGGCCCTGAACCCGCCAGGGCTGTGCCTCTCCCGGCCCAGGCTTCCGCCCCCGCTCTCCTCGCCCTCCCATTTCCCCTCTGGGTTCCGGCTTGGGGGCCTCTGAGCTTGGGCCCCTAACTGAACCCCCGTGTGCCCCAGTTTTCTCCTCTACAGAAGGGGGTAGCAGCAGCCACCTCCTGGGGGTGATACGGGGGCCAATGTGGGCATCTCATTAGGCTTGTGGGGTGCCCGCTGCCCTGGCCTTGCACATGCAGCTGTGGCCTGCCCGTCCGGCCACACCCCTCCCCGCCCCAGAGCCCCGGGAGTACCCACAGCTTCTCCCAACTGGTCTGCCATGGGCCGGCGCCCCTGCCCCATGCCGGCGTGGCCTGCACTGGCCGTGCCGGTGATTTCGAGGTGGACGCGTGGCAGGCAGGCTGAGCGCTTGCTTGGGCTTCTCCTCCCCACAGCACCTTCTCCGAGTCGCCTACCAGGACCCCAGCACTGGGTGCACATCCAAGACCCTGGCCGTGCCCCCGGAAGCCTCAGTCGCCACCCTCAGCCAGCTCTGTGCCACCAAATTCCGAGTGGCCCAGCCCGACTCCTTCGGCCTCTTCCTGTACAGGGAGCAGGGCTACCACCGCCTGCCCCCTGGAGCCTTGGCCCGCGGGCTGCCCGCCGCCGGCTACCTCGTCTACCGCCGGGCAGAGCGGCCTGAATCCCAGGGGGCTGCTGCCCACGAGCAGGGCAATGGGCGGCCTGCGGCAGGGAGGCCGGAGGAAGGGAAAGGAGGCCCTGGAGACGCGGGGGGAGAGCGTGAGAGCAGTGCCGAGCAGGCCGAGGCTGGGGCCGCCGGAGGCCCCGGGCGGCCAGCGGAGCCAGAGGCAGAGGGAGACCAGCTGGCCGAGGGGTAGCTGGAAGCCGGGGCGTACCCGAAGCTGAGG